AATCTCTACACAGATTGAAGGCTTGGAAGCAGATAACTGCATTTACTTGTTTATCTGCCCATGAGTAATAGTTCCAGATCTTCATGACTTGGAAATTTTGGCATTTACTGAAACAAATAAAAAAGATTCTTGCCCAGACAAAGAAAAATAAATAAACAAATGGAACTCTCTTGATCCTAATGCATGGACATATCAGAAACCTCTGATGAAAATATTTGTTCATTGTTTTGTAAAAGGCAAAAAATCTGGGAGGAAAGTGGTGAAGGCTCCATGTAGGATTGTCTCCTAGTAACGTGTAGGACAGGCCTGCATGGATAATGTTATTATGCAAAAGGACATGTATTTTACATCTCTGACAAGATGCTAGCAAATCTATATACGTGTTTGTCCATAGGGGTGCGTATATATGTGTGTGTCTGTATATACATCTGTGTGTGTATAGAGAGGGAGGAGATGGAATTTCCACAAAGCAATTATTTCCTAGTCACCTTTAGTGCCTCAAAGCATTTTTCTGCCCTTTTGCTGTGTATTCTGGGAGAAAGTGACTTGTGTGCTCTCCCAGCACTAGAAGGACCAGGCACGGCAAACCTCTCTAGGTGATGCCAAGGAGAATGGCCATCTATGAGCTGGTCTTGAGCAGGTAAAACAGGATCCTGCATGAGGAGCATGTGAGAGGGCTCTCCAGAGTACAAACAGTGTCTGGAGGGTTTGTTTTAGGTGACTCAGCCTGAAGAAAAGAAATAAGAAATTCATCCTTGAGCTCAGGTATCACAGACTCAGATGAGACCATTATAATAAATAACCTGATGACACTAGACTGGTTGTAAGATTCACTGGCTGAAGTTCAGCCTTGAACTCAGGCTATACAGTTACAGAGGCTAAAATTTGATTTGGAGCGTATTTTGTGTCCCAGAAAAAAGTTTACCTGTTGTGATAAGTAAGGGAAGAGATATGGCATAAATTTCTTTCTAATCTCCTGATTTGACACCTAGGAAAACAAGCCTTTCACAGACCTTTCACTCTGGAGAATGAAACCAGAAAAAAAGGATGTGTCAATGAAATGTTCGTTAAGCAGGCTATCAGTAAGCAAATCATTCTTCTCTGCTGATAGATCTGTAAGACCTCATCTGCTATACACTGTCATTCCTCTGCTGATGCTGATTTGGATGGCGCTGAGAGCATTCAGTCCAGCTGAGGCTCTAGCCTATACCACCTTTTTACATCTTTTCATCTGGATGTTTGCCTGGTGTGTTTTTTTCCACAGTCTACCAAGTAGGACCAGGAGCACTGCTCTGCAGACACTGCCATATACTGTCTGTGTTACACTGATGCCCAGAGGCTTCAGGTATAATCAGTGTGCAAAAGTCGTGCAAGCAGAGGGACAATCTGTGCCTCAAGGAGTTTATAATCTAAACAGAAGCCAAATGTAATACAGAGAGTGTAGAATATAGCTTATAGAGAAAGACTGTTGGAGAAAGAGGTGAGAGGTGCACGCAGAGAGAAAAGCTACAAACACATACTGCAATATTTCTGTCTTCCTACTTACCTATTTAAGGATCAGGTCCCACCCTTGAATTGTGAAAGTGTAACAATTGCTTTTTTTAAAAATGAAACACTTCCTCTTTACTGGCCTGCCCACGCTCTGCAGGCAGCTTACCCTTCACATGAGGAAAGTGGCTTGGGTTATTGCTGTGCTCCATGTGTTTGTGTAGAGGGATCACATCACCCTTCTGGAAGGGAACCTTTTGTAATCCATGACACTTCAGAGCAGAAGCCCTTCTGTCAGTCAGACAGCTGATAGGAAATCTTACAGTCATGGTAAAGAGACAGACCACCTCCAGACATCGGGGTGAGGGTCCCAAAAAGGTTACCTGCAGTGTACTCCCTTCTACCAAAGCAGGAACAATGGAAGAGGAAAAGCACCTGTGGCCATCTCTGCCTCTGGGAACGCATGTATAAATTTTGTTAACGTTAAAGAGACCTGAACCTCTAGTCATAGCTCACTCACCATTTTTTTTGTGGATTTTAACAGTAATCTCAGATAACACAAGTGGGAAAAATGGACTTCTGCATTTTGACATTTTCTGCAAATTAACCATAGTCTGAAGTGTGCCTTTGTCTGCAACACTATCACCACTCTGGCATACCTTAGTGTGCAAAGCTCAGTACTAATGAATCTGCAAACCTGGATAATCAGATTTGTTTGCAGGGATCACACAAACCAGCCAAACCCTGCTGAATCAAGTTGAGGAGCTAACATATAGGGGAATTAAATACAGAACAGCAGCAAAAGTAAGTCAAGTCCACCCTTTCAAGGAACATCAAGAGTCCTGAAGTATTTTGGTGAAGTTTGATACAGCAGCTTTGCCACAATGTTTGAATGTTTTGGACTTGCTTATCATCAGACTGAAGACACATGCTTTCAACAGGCAACTTTACTCCCTGTGTTTCTCTGGTCTTTATCCCATTTGCACCTGTTCTCCAGTGTTTAACTCCTTAATGGGGTGTTGGACCATGACCAGGGTCCCTCAGAATCCATTCATTAGCTTTACTTCTAAGTAAATGAGGTGTCACCACCGTGGTGATCACTAGCAGTTACAACTTCATCTGTATGAAGACAACCTGCAGAGCACAAATTCAGAGTTGCTCGGGTGCTCTCATCCTCTGTGCTTTCCCACTGCGGTCGAGCCTACCTACCTCAGGGCTGTGACAGTTCTGGGATGCCCTCTCCTCCCTCTTAATCCCAGGGGAGAAGCTGATTGAGCAATCTGCCTGCCACCCACTGGGTTTGTGAGTGAGCACCCAAAGACTGCGCTGTAGGTTGTGATTCTTTTGTAGCTACCCACTCACCCAGAGTCACCCTGGTTACAGAGAGCTGGCAAAGGACAGCTTTTGTCTCCACTTCTAAGTACTCTGTTTCTTTACAGCTGTGTGTCAGCCAGGCAGACACATAACTTTTCAGCTCACTTCCTGAAGTATGCTAAATGCAAGAAGGAAGAAAGATAAACCTTTAGATAAGGTAGGGGAAATACAACTGCATGAAACACTGACAGGGAGTTTTAAAAAAACATGAGGGACAAGAGAACAAGGCTAATGTGTAATTTTAAAGAAAAGTGAAGGTTTTAGCTAAATGGCATTTTTCTCAGATTTTTTTTTTTATTTTAACTTCATACTGATTAGCATTGCTAACGAGTTCAGGTGTACTCCTGTTGATTTGGCTACTGAGAGGGAATTTGTTTTGAAAGCAAAGCTCTATTTGCTGATAAGTTTTCCTGGACTTGCAATATGCTCTTTGCTTTTTTTTTTTTTTTCCTACTGTAATTTTGGAAACAGTGGAATTTAGGCATCTAAGAGATTTTTACCCCCTTCTTTCCGTGAAAAACAGACTATCAAACACTGGCTATTCTTAAACAAGTTTTAGGGTTGTCATAATGAATGTGCTAAAATTCTCCCAAATTCCTTTTGTTTTCTGCCTGAGAAAATACTTCAAATATTACCTAGCTATAAGAATTTTTAAAGCTCTTTTCCTGTTCAAGAATGAGGTGCTAATTTTGGGAAACTTAAATTCAGTAGGAAAAGCTGTTCTTTTGTTAGATTGTCGGTACAAAATGTTCAGGTAACTCTGAGTAACTCAATTAGTCTTGTTCTAGCATGTGCTCAGAGGCCCAGTGGAAAACTTGACAAAGATTTTCTGGAGGCATCTGTGCTCTGGTTATTTCAAGGTCTTAATTAAATTTGGTGTGTTTATCCTTTCTCTTTGTGTTTTCACTGTTCATACTGAAAACAAGACAAATATATTTGTAAGTCTACCAATGATCCTGAAGTGCTAAGATGCTTCCCTAATTTTTTTCTTGGTGATTGCACATTCTCAGAGAGCAGCAGGCAAGCTAAAAAACATATGACTGATATTACTCAATATGCTCATACTTCAATACTAGAGACTCAGCTGTAAAAATAGAGGTGTTTTTTTTTCCTAACTGTTTTCTAGCTTCTTAAGAAAATATGTACAGGTGTTTATGATAAAAGTATCTTAGGAAATGGCATCTGTAAGATTACACACAGCACATAAAACCAAGAATTTTAATGCCAAACTATTTGAACAATTTTGACTTTATGGCTATTTACTATTATTACGCTAGGACAGCTTCTTAAGATACTGAGTAATGGAAAATGAATAGCTAAAAGTATAACATATATTTCAACTTTTCCTCTTTCTGTTACGTGATTCTGATTACAATCCCAGTTCTAAGCTTTTTTTTATGTTTATCGGTATCTTCTAAATCATGTTCCTACTGCAATTTTTTATTTGCATACAGATGTTAGAAAGAACCTGATAGTGTAGCTTAAAGGTCATCCAAACCTTTGCTTCTTCTTTAAAAATTTTAAAGGTTTAGCTTTTGCCATTCAAACCATTCAGAGACAGGTTAGCAGCATAAGATACACACCCACACACACTCTCACATCCTGCCCAACAAAGTTTACAATCAAAATAGTAAATAGAGAGAAAATTATCAGTATGTACAGAAAAGAATTGCCTCTGGCTTCTCCCTATTACTTTGTAGGTAATTTCCTCAGCTGAAAACAAAGTTAGCTGCTTGTACTTTCTGATTATTGTTGTGTGATGAAAGAAACTGTTCCCATAGTATGATTACAGACATGAAATATTTTCTGGACAGGAGAAATCCTTATCGTCCCATAGCCTGTACACTAGATGGTATCTGAGGGAGGTGAAGCACCCTGTGTTTTTGATACATTGGGTAATTTGAAATAAAGCATTTTTCTGTAAACTCTACCGTTATGCAAACCCTGAGAAGTTATAAAATTACATTAGCAATAATTATTTTTCTCCTCTGTGTTCCTGGAAAAACAACAACATCAGATCTTTTGTCACTGAACCAGAAACATTAAGAATTCAATTAGTCGTTTTCAAGAAGAAAAAAAGCTACATTGATTTTAAATAATAAGAAATTTTCATATGTAAGAGAAGTGGAAAAACATACCTTGACTGCAAATTCACTACTAAGCAGACACAAATGTGTGAAGTGCAACACGTCTCTGGGAACAGCCAAGCTCCTTCTGTAGTATGAATGAGTCTAACTTCTGGTTTTACTGCCCCTCCCTGAACATAGCAGACTCATCCCTCTGCTGATGACATCATACTCCTGGATTTTCTCCCATACTGTATTTTAAAAGCAATGTTTATCTACTGTACCCAGTTTGAGACCACTGATATTTTAATATGGGCAGTAAACAACATAAACATGGCTAAAATACTGATATGCCCCAGTGTGTGTATAAAACAGTCATGTGTTTGCATAACAGCTTCCAGAATTGTGCGTGAGCATGTACTCACAAACACAGAGTTCTTATCCTGATTTTGGCAAATGGTGTGTGCATATTTTATTGGTGTTAGACACAATCAAGAGCTAAACAAGTCAGCTTTTAGGAGGACTTGGATCTTTAAAACAGAAAACATCAAATATCTTATTTACAGTCTAAGATACTTTTTTTTCCATGGGAAAAATATCTGAAAGACACTGCTCTTCCTCACCCAAAATCACTGACTACTCAATCTGCTGAGAACTAGTACAGAATCCAAGTACCACTTTAAGATTTAAATTGGACCAAAGTTTCTTCAGGTTTATGGATGAAATATCTATGTGAATCAGAATTAGAGTCAAAAAGTGAAGCAGAGCCCTTTTCTTACTGCACTGACTTTTATTCCGGATTTCAGATAATTAACAGAGAACTAATTTTAGACTGTTTTGTTAGAGGTATAGCTGTTTTTCCTCTAATATTTATGCAATTTAACTGAAATCTGAAATGGTAACCATGGTTGCAGAATTCCTCACAGAGGACACGTTCATTCAGAGGAGAAGTGAACAGAGTAAAGAACAGTTCACTGTCTTAGTTTGCCATAAAATTCTAATTCTGAAAGTGAATGATTCATGAAAAATGTTGGTCTATATTGTGACCAGTAGTATCTACCAGGGAAAATATTTGGCTCCCACTCTCCACTGGTTCATCATTTACAGTTCTAGTGCAATACACTCATTTGGTGTGTGTTCCAACAGGAATCGCTGCTCTACTTTTCAGTCATTTTCCTCTTCTTTCTCGGAATCTGTCATAATAGCTGCTCAGTACATTTTCTTTCTTTATTGCAACTAGTTGAGTCATGATCTACTATCAGCAGTACCTTCCCTTGGTCTGTCCCTGCTTTCCCTGCACCACGTTCAGTTTGATTGTGTAATCTCAAGACTCACAATCTCAAAGATCTTCATTCCGCATTTTTCTTCCATTTCTTTTTTTAACTCCCTCTGTACCCGAATAAATGTTTTGAGACTATCTCTAGATTTTGCTTTTTTGATTGGTCATGGATTTAGTATTAAAGGTTAACGTAATTTCGCAAATACAGTGCAGCAAAATTCTGCTTAGGTTTTAAGACACATTTTATGTGTTCATAGGAGGGACTCCATAGGCTCATTTGTAGTGAGGTAATGAAACCCAGCTAGAGCCAGATCTACTCAACTGCACCTGAGGAATGCAGAAAACTTCTGGATGAGCAGGAGAGGAGCACTCTACAGTTTTTTCAGGAGGTTGAGGCAGGTGTTGCCAGCAGTCAGTCTGCTAATGGAGACTTGCTGAATGGTGAAATAAATGCATGCAGTCATCTTTAAAGCTTTAGAGAGGCAAAACCCTGCAAAGCAGAAACCATTAGTGCTTTAGGGATGTGAGGGAGATGACAAACACATGAGCCAGGCTTCATGCACAGTTCAGTTACTTGATCATTCAGAATATTTCAGTCAAATTCTCTTCAAATTAAATTATCACGAAGACAAAGAGTGGGACCTTCAGTATCTTAGCATAAAGCTGGAACAGTTCAAATTTAAGTGAATGAAAGAAATATACCCTCTCTTCCCCCCATCATTTTCTGTTTACGGAAAAAAACCTGTTGTCTGGACAGATGCAAGACATCACTGCATAACCTGTAACTGTGAAAACTTCCATAGAATTATAAAATATCCTGAGTTGGAAGGGACCCACAAGGATTATCAAGTCCAACTCCTGGCCTTGTGCAGGACACACCAAGAGTCTCACCATGTGCCTGAGAGCATTTTCCAAATGATTTTTGAACTCTGGCAGACTTGGTGCAGTGACCACTTCCCTGGGGAGCCTGTTCCTGCCCAACCACCCTCTGGGTGAAAAACCTTTCACTAATATCCGACCTAACCTCCCCTGTCTCAGCTTCATGCCATTTCCTTGAGTTCTGTCATTGGTCACCACAGAGAAGAGATCAGTGTCTGCCCCTCCTCTTCCCCTCCCAAGGAAGTTGTAGACTACAATGAGGTCTCCCCTCAGTCTCCTCTTCTCCAGCCTGAACAGACCAAGTGACCTCACCCGCTCCTCACACGGCTTCCCCTCAAGGCCCTTCACCATATTCATTGCCTGCCTTTGGACACTCTCCAAAAGGGACAATCCCCTCCCTTGACTGGCTGGCGATGCTTTGCCTGATGCCCCCCAGGACAGTGTTGGCCCTCCTGGCTACCAGGGCACTGCTGACTCATATTCAACTTGCCATCAACCAGGACCCCAGGTCCCTTTCCATGGCACTTCTCTCCAGCATCTCATTCCCCAATCTATATGCACAACCAGGATTGCCCCATCCCAGGTGCAGAATCTAACACTTTTCCTTGTTGAACTTTCTACTGTTGGTGATTGCCCAGTCCTGTAATTTGTCGAGGTTTCTCTGCAGGGCATCCCTGCCCTCAAGTGAGGCAACAGCTTCTGCAATTTAGTGTTGTCACCAAACTTGCTTAGTATCCCTTCCAGTCCTGTGTCCAAGTCATTAATGAAGATGTTGATGAGCACTGGGCTGAGGCTGGAGCCCTGTGAAACTCCACTAGTGACAGGTCACCAGTCTGATGTTACCCCATTCACTGTGAGCCAATTGCTCACCCATCACATAACATGGTTATCCAGCTGTGTGCTGGACATTTTGTCCAGAAGGATCCTGTGAGAGACAATATCAAAAGCTTTGCTGAAGTCCAAAAAAGTTACATCTACTGGCTTTCCAACATAACTAGGTGTGTTACCTGTCGTAGAAGGAAATCAGATTCTACAGGCAAGACTTTCCCCTCAGGAAGCAGTGCTGGCTGTGACCAATGACTGCTTTGTCCTCCAGGTGTTTTTCAATGTTTCCCAGAAAAATATTTTCCATGATTTTACCAGGCACTGAAATGAGACTGACAGGCCTGTAGTTTCCAGGGTCCTCCACCTTGAAAATCAGGACAATGTTCCAGTCAGCTGGGACCTCTCTGGATTCCCAAGATCAATTCCCCAATATCATTAAGAGAGATTTTGCAATGACATCAGCCAGATCTTTGAGGATTCTTGTATGAATCCCATCAGGCCCCATAGATTTGTAGGAATCTATATGGAGTAGCAGATCCTGTACAAGCTGAGGGTCAGCTGGGAGCTGATCATTCTCACAGTCATGGTCCTCCAGCTCAGGGCACTGAGACCCCCTTGGTCCGTCATCCGTGTTGAAGACAGAGGCAAATAAAGCATTGAACGCCTCTGCCTTGTCTCTGTCCCTGTTTGTGAGGTGACCATCCTCATCCTGTAACAAGCCAATGTTTTTTCTACACTGCCTTTTGCCATTAATATCTTTGAAAAAAACCTTCTGTTGTGCTCCACAGTTTTGGCCAGCCAACTTTAACTCCAATTAAGCTTTGGCCACACAGATTTTCTCTCTACTATGGCACAGCATCTCTGATTCACCTGTCACCTTACCTTGGGCATATACTCTGAAGTGGGTTACGTGAAAGCATTAGTACTCAGTCAACATTTTTCTAGGAAACTGAGAGAGAATGTATCTGAATATTGGACTCTGTTAACTCAAGATAACAAGCAGTGATTAAAGAGTAAATATAAGAGGAGAACTGGTTGCCTGGCTAGTTGTTCAGGACAGCACTTTCTGGGAGAGAAAGATCTTACCATATGATTTTACTTATTGATTACTGAGTTTTTCCAAGTATGTTTCGCTCTTTTCTGCCCTACTGGAAAGCTACAGTTGAGTTTGCATTCCAGGTTTGGAAAAAGGAAGAGGTCCTTGGCTTTTTGGCAGGTACCTAAAACTTTTAGTGTTTGTGTTTAAGCAGGAGTCCCTGTGTGAACAGGTGACTCGTGCTACTGACCATGCAAGTGATAGAAGATACACTCAGATGAAAGGCAACTCTTAAAGTCCTTTTGTGTGTCTGTATGTGCTGATCAGTCTCCTAGAAGAAGCTTTTCTTGCAGCTGAGTCTGTGTATCTGCTTCCCCTACAAACTCAGTGTTTTTTCAAGACTCACTAATTAAAATCAGCGACTGAAGATATTTGGGAACTTTCTCTAAATAGGATGGTGATTAATTTCCTTTTCCTTTCCCTGAACAAATCTGATCCTCCTAAATAAATTGTGTCTGGTTAATTTTGTCAGTTTTGAGGGGTTTGCATCATCACTGAGCCTTAGCTGCTTGGCATGAGTTCTGGTTTAAACAATCACCCATTTTGGTCAGTTACAATCTTCTAGAATGAGAGGAGCTACTTTGTCTTCTAGGTGTTGCTGGGCATTCAACCTAAATGTGTTGCATTTATTTTAAAACCTCTTCTCACTAATTCATAAAGACATGTTCTTTTCTTTCTAGAATTTAAGAATTTTGGTACTTTCTTTTTCTTACTGTGAGGAGAGGTTAAGTTAAACAGGATCTAGAAAGTGTATGAGCTGTTGAAGGACTGTATAATGGGTTCGGTTCTGAAAGAGGAGACAAAGGTTGACTAGAGATGAACAGAATGTCAACAGAGAAGCAAAGACAATACTGATGGAAACATTTGCATCTCACTTACCAGGGGAAAACCCCTTTTGTTTGAAAACTGGATCCTCAATACATGATGTCGTAGAGGTACACACTCAGAATCAAACTTCTTCACTTCCGTGCAAGGGGCAGCATTCATCTTTGGAAGAAGCCATGTAG